ATAAAACCTAATAGAAAACACCGCCTAAATTTAATGTAACAACCATTCGACCTCATTAGCTGAACATGTTCTTGTCATATTTCTTCAGTAAATGCTTTCATGCAAGACAGGCACAATGAATATGCTACTACTTGTACCTATAGTGAATGGAACTTAAGAATACACTCTAGATACACGACACTGCATAGTAAATAGATTTAAATCCTTTTTCATAAATTAAAATAAAATCCATATCAGAGAAAGAAAGAAAGAACGTGTTAATAGAAACAAGAGTGGGGGACCGATTTCTTAAAAGAAATATAGGTGTTACCAATTTTAATACAGAACTGGGGAATAGAGGCTGGGATAAATATTGTATATATGCTTAACCTAAAAGCTCAAAATATTTATATGGATGCATGTCAATTGAGATTAAGTGAACAGAAGGTTATGAGGGAAAAATCAAATACATGTATGGGAAAGACCTCCTTTCAGACTATGAAAAGGCTAATCACGTGTTCCTAGATGGTATTTTTCAGGATCTGCATTCAGTGAAGCCAGAGTAGGCACATTTTGATGCACGACAATGGGAACAAAAATATACAAAAATGGTGAGGAAGGATGGGAGGCAGTTTATAAAATACACCTTGAAGTGGCTGCAATTCTTTATATATCTCATCCCTCAAACACCTGAATAAAAGTATTCATATTTGCTCCTCCATTTTAATATATTCCCCTGAAACCTGTACAATTATATTTTGTTGCTTACAAAAAGAAAGCAAGAAATTTATGTCGGTATTTCAAGCTGACTACAGAAAAATCCTTTTTTTACTGAATTAAGATAAATAAGCAGAACCCATAAGCATAGTATATTTTGCCGAGGCATGCTATATATACATATACATATCAATCGTATTCTTTTGATCTAATTAAGCATCCATCATCATCATCATCATCTTCATCTATACTGGCAAATAAGGAAAAGCTTGGCAACTCATATTTAAGAACTGAAGCAGCTGTAATGAGGTAAAAAGAACAACAGGCATTTTAAACTTGACACTGCTATTTTTCTCTATTATTTATGCTGTGAAATTATTATGTTTATAATCCTCCTTTGGAGGGCAGAGAAAACACAACAAAGTACTCCAAAATTCTGAAATGTTACTAGTTAGCCTTGATAAATAGGAATAGCAGGTGTTCCTGGGCTTAGAATAATTGGCCCATATGCAATTGATCAAAAGCTACAGATAATATATAGATGCCCAGCAAAAATCTAACTTTTTATCCTCAGCTCTGTCCAACTAGGCATTATTTACTTCTGTTACATGGCTTCTGAGCCTTTTTGTTTCTTTAGATGACCTGCAAATCTTGCAGTATGACAGCAAACTAGTAAACAGAGAAATTAAATTTAATAGCTTAGCACTGTAGCATAAGAAAAGCTATATAATGGAAAACTTTGCACTGATAAAACTTTGAATATGGCTTAGTAAAACTTATGTCTGAGTATTTGGACAGCATTTCAGTTTACTATGGAAATTTGTAATGAAATCTAAGATTTTATATTAGTTACTTGTGAGTTTTTAAGCTACAGTAATTAAATGATCAGTTGCAAAAAGTGAAGACATATTCATTGCATTTCATCAGTTGCTACATAATAAGCAACACTGTTATTTAAAATTTCAAGCTGTTTATATATTGCTTAGTTTGTTGTAATTATTTGTATATTTTATTTTTCTGTAATTTTTGTTTATAAAAATTAACCACTGATGGAAGCAAATACTTTCAAGCTGAGTTACCAACTTCTTAATAGCAGAAAAGTCGTAACAAAAAATTTGAAGGGTATTAGTGAGGCAGACTTAATGAATACTCAAAATGCAAGCTTACCTAGGTAAAGTAATCATGTTTTTCCGTAACTCTTTTGACCTTAGTGACACAAATTAATTCTGCAAATCTAATGCCAAAATAAGTTTCCACATCTAATGCAGCATCATTTGGTCATGAATTCCATAAACATATATTATTTGGCATTGTAATACTGCTTTTAATTAGAATTTCAGTATGTCAGGCTATAGATTTATGGTTCAATCTAATGCATGTCTCCTCAGAAGGAAGTCAAGCTGATTTCAATAGGGCTTACTTCTTTGTGAGCACATATAGGATTAGACTCTTAATCGATTATGAATAGTGTTTAAAGAACCAGGACCATGACATTTTAGGAGTCCAAGTGATTATATCAACAGATAATTAAAACTGAAAGATGGCTACATATATTTAATCCTATGCCCATTTATGATCAGATGGCCCCCAACTTAACAATATTTATAAATTGATAGATATCTGCACTGGGATAAAAAGTTGTTTTAAGTGTAACACCGGCTCTCTAAGGATGTTCTGGTAATTTGTGAGGAAGCCCAATCTATTTATCACTAAAATATATTATATTATACTGTTCTGTCACTGTCTCTTGATATATCATTACAAAATTATTGCCAAATTTTAAATCAAACATTCTGGACTTGTTCATGTTACCAATCAAGGAAAAAGCACAAACCTCCAATTACAATAAATAAATAATCCACACAGTATCTTTCAAGAGATTACTTATGTCCTTTAATCTAACAATTTCTGATAATTTTCCTGATTATGATGTCGCAACTACCATATGATTGGCCCTGCCTTCCGAAGCACTTTAAAGGAATCCCACTGTTCACAAACCTTGCTCTTCTGTTTAATTCCATGGAAATATTAGCATCAACTCAACTAAATGCTCTGATGTAAAATAACAATCACATAAAATACTGGAGTTTACCTCTCTTTTGCACACCAAATATTGAAAAGTGTAATAGCTCACATCAAAGTCTAATGGCAAAGTTCAACAGATAAGAGAAGTTAGAACAAATGAAACTGTAACACTTTAAAAAGTATGAAGTACACATAGTGAAGATTCAAAATTATATGCTGATCCAAACACATCTGTGAAAACACCTCACAGAAAAAGTGCATGTTTAGTCTATATGTGCACACACGTGTGTGAAAACACACTGACAACTATATAAAGTATACAGAAATCAGGTTTTCTTTTGCTTCAGGCCAAAATCATCATGTTTTGGTGAACAATTTATAATTCTGATTTGAGCTATATTTAAAGCGTATGATGAATAAATATACCCTCAAATGTTCACTGAGTTCTACTAAAGAGACCTGTGTCTTTACTTTGCCTGTCTACTTATTTTAAGATCCCCTCAAACTTTAGAAAATAAAAAAAAAAATTGCTGCCAAGTTTTCCCCTTTCAGAACCTGCCTAATACTACAATTTAACTGAATAATTTCATGTCCTTTTTTTTCCCTTGTATTATTTCTACTGGAAGCTATGAGTACAGGAACAAATTGGCTATAAGTTTTTAAGACTGCTCTGAGAAATGGTAAGTAGCATATTGTGATGATGATTTCTGCTATAAATGATTGTTTATCTTTTTAACATATTAACAGAGCAATCCCATGTATATTATTCAGATGTTAGTCTACTAAATTAATTGGGGGAAGAATTCAGGACTGTAGCCTAAATAGACATATTTCCAACTGTTTAAATGGTGTTAAAGAATCAAAGCTTTGATCAGATAATTTTTTATAGTATAAATGTTAAAATACATAAAGTATTATAATTTTAAAAAGGCAAAGAAAACTTGTATTAGTCTGTGAAACAATGCAATTCTTAGATACTTCTAAGTTTTCAAGACAAAACTATTATAATTGTTCCACATCAGTTATCATCATAACAAATAATAGCTGTAGAATTTATTCAGTATTAATATTAAGAATAACTTAACAACTTAAACAATGACTGACGTATTTATTTGTGGTGATAAAGGCCCAAACTGAACAACCTAAGTAAAGCTCTACAAATGTTCCACTAAAATTCAACTGTAACAACTTTATGTTCAGTAAGGCTGTTAATTGCTTGTGATGTAGATCATAAAAATGTATCTATTAACAAGTTAAATATTCAGTACTGCAATATAAAGATTTGGGGGGGGGTTGAGGCATAGCTCCCACAAGAACCTCAACAGTTTATATATGATATTCAGCACCCTAAAATATTTGGCCTTTATATATAACTGGGAGGGATAGCCTAACTCTACTTTTTAATAACAGTAATAATTATTTTAAAAAGTGTTAAATGTGTGAAAGCTTGTGTCTTATATTATTCATAGTAACAAACATAATTTAATAATTATCTGTTGGTAGTCTACTCAACTTGACTGTAAAGATCATCATTTACTTTGATACATTTCCCCTTTTTGTTTTTATAAATATTAAAAGTTTTATTTATTTATACACCGAAAGAGAGAGAGAGAGAGAGAGAGAGAGGTGCACACATACACACAAATACACATGCATAAATAGTCATTTAGTTAAAAATTGGTAAATGGCTTTTTTCATAGTCTCCTAGCTAGAAAAGTACGGCAAATTTTTCATCTCTAAAGAGGTGTTTCAAATAGCTTGCTAATGTTTGCTTTCAACTTGTTTGATTTTATTTCATGGAATTTTATTTACAAGTACCATAGCAAAGCATCTTTGCTTCAAAGAATCACTGTTACCTTAGCTGAGTTTAGGAACAATTTCAATCTACAAAGATGTAAAATAGCAAGTAATGTGGCCCTCTGGTGGAAAGCTAAGGATCACATTCTCTTTCTCCATATCATTCAAGGAAGCTGGCGGTTTAAAAAAGGTATTTTGCTTGAAAAGATATGGAAGCAACGTCTACAAATATATACTCTGCCTTTAAAAGAAAGGGCGCAGGGTACTCCAGGACAGATACACGTCAACAATACAGAAAAAGAAGGTACAGATCTTCTATCTTAAGGACTAACAGAAGACAACACAACAAACAAACAACAAAATAATGCTCCACTTTCTGCAGTATTCTAAAAGTGAGCAAAATCCAGCTGGAAGAAAAGGAGAGGCACAACCTTCCCATTGGCATGAACACAAACACGGTGCAAAACAAACAAAAAACTTACCTGCTGTTGTTGCAGATGCAGCAGTTCTACTGTGCTTACTTCAGTGCCCGTGTCACCACTTGATCTTCCATCTCTGCTGCCAGCATCTAATTGGCTGCTTAGAGTGCTCATTCCATTTTGATTCATTGAACTGTTGCTTATTGTCTCTGTCGCAGATTCCTGCATCATGACTTAATACCTAAAAGTGATTAAGAAGTATCAATTAACACACACGTTACACCTTCACACTTCCATTATCAAGATGTCCCTCTTTGCCAATTACAGAGACAGCATCTTTAGGAAGGGAAGGGGAAAAGCCCCTTGCACAGTCATTTAAGGAGCAAGCAATGCAATACAAACCTTGCTTTCATAGACACACTATCCTCATCCCTGAAACCATGTTTCCCAGAGCAATGTTTCTGTGGTTTCATACACAGAGGAAGATAGCATCCATGTATGCAACATGGGGAAACAGCATTCCTGAACATCACATTTTAAAGCCTAGCTATCAAACCAGTAAAATGAAGGGACAATTTCATACCCTGCCCCATTTTTCCTATTATCTAGCTTTGACAACCATGGATGACTATACAGCCCTATTTAAAATATTCACTATCTAGATTCTGTCAGAATTTTACAGCATCTCTTACGCAAGGCTGTTGTTTAATGATGCACAGCTAATCATACAAAATTAAAATTTTGTAAGGATGTTACAAATCATATGGTATCAACCAGTGATAAATAGTATAATGGGTTGCTCTTTGTGTGTGTGTGTGACTAAATAAAATTTTGCCTTGGAGGCATTTTAAGAAAAAGCTCTTGCTGCAAACACTTCAGATATTGCCTATTTTTTTAATCAAACGGCTGATATTCATTTATTTTTCTGACATTTAAAACATTTAATACTGTCCTTCCTGGGAAGTAATTAAGCTTATGCATGAGCAGCAATCAAACTGTTCACTTGAAGATGACTTAAAACTCAATTTTAACATAGGCAAATAAATGAAAGATATAAAATTAATTTTCCAGGCATGTATTAGATATGAAAGCTAGAAATAAAATCTATCAAGAATATCACTAATGATTGTGCTAAAAACAGCATAAATTATGCATATTACCTTCTCTACAGTAATAAATGTTTTATCATTTTCACTGCATAAATATACTGTACTTTCAGGATAGCAATGAGATGTCCTGCCAAGATCAGATGGAATCTTTGCAGTAAATAAAGAACCAACATATTCTAACAAACTAGAATTTCAACTACACTTTGCATCAGTAATAAGAAAATTCCATTTTTTGCTATTTTCAGAGTTTATCTTACTTCGATCTATGTTAAAAATGCATCATCCATTTTCTTGTAACAATGCATATATTACACTGACCAATTTCCAAAGAAAGGAAAGGTGGGGGTGGGGTAGAGCAGAGCAAAGCAAAATAAAACTTTCTGATAAAACTTTCTGACAAGATGCTTTACTGGGTGGGTAAATCCAATCAAAGAAAACAGCTGCTACTTCTACTGTACCTAACACATGATTCAGCTCAAATCAGCATATGACCAATAATTTCTTCTTATAAGAATAAAATACCAAAGAAATTATTACAGTTTAAATCATTGTTAATAACATCATTAAACAGTAATAAAAGTTTACTTTTCATAAAGGAATATTTAAAAACATAAACATTTAAAAAACACTACATAATAAATGCATACTCTGGACACAAAGAATGGATACACACACACACACACACATACAATCACAGTTCACATAAAGAAAAGTAGTTCTTCCCATTACAAATAAGCATTACAGAATCAGGCTTTTTAAGAACAAATACTCTTTGAAAAGATACTATTGGGTAGCAGTAAGAATAGAAATCAAACGTTATTCAGGTAAAAATGAATTTTATACATGTAAAGACAGTTTTTTCAATAAGAAAACAAAACTAATATCATTTTATGAGAGCAGGCAGCTAATAAGTATTCAAATTAGGCATGAATTTTACATGCACCATGTTTAAAATATTTAGGAAAAAAGGGCCTGATAGAATTTTCATCTAACTCTTAAGAGCTTGCTAAAGAATATCTTAGATTCTCTAAGCATCTTAAAAACATATCGTAGCAGTATTATTATTATTATTATTATTATTATTTTATAATCCTATATATATCTACTCAAAATAAACCCCATTGAATTCAATGGGACCCAGAAAAATTATAAAGATTACAACCTTAGTTGTTAAAACACATTCAAAGCATGCATCACTGTGAACATACAGTATTCACTGAGTACTTCATCTTTTTCATAGCATCTCCAAAAGGATTGGGAGGAGGGTATGTCTTCATACAAATAAGATTTATTTTACTTTTTTTCTACAGTATAAATATTTGACTGTATTTCTGGAACAATACATGATATTCATTAAAAGGATAAATGTGTGATACATGCAGCTTAATCAACCAAAGACATTATATATTTTTTGCAAATCTCTTCTTTTAAACTTAAAATTTGATATTTGTAGGTCTGTGATTCTTTCAAGACAATTAGAAAAAGTTAAATATCCTACAGTTCATGTTAACCAAAATGTATATAATTCTGGGCTGTGTGTGTTTATCTGTGATCTTGGAGTTCACAACTTAAACACTGATCTCTAAGCCTTACAAAAGTTTAACAAAACATTAAATGGCTCTGAATGCTGGA